TTTCAAATTATGGGAAACATGCAAGAGTCCTCTATGAAACATGATTTTCTTCTCCCCAAAGAGAAGCAACTTCACATCATGGTGAAGGGTTAGGCTTGGGCTCCCAATCAGCTGGGCCTGAATCCCAGATCAACCACTGCTAGCTGGTAACCGGGAGCAAGGTACTAGTCTCTCTGAGTGTCAGATTCTCTCTCAAGAACCTCATAGAGCTTTAATGAGAGTCAAAAGAGATAATACACAAAAATACTTGCACTCTACCTGGCACTTAGTTTGTCATACTCACTTGCTATTAACAACAGCAGCACCATCTTCATCTTCATCACCATTACCCTTCCCACTCAAATTCTCATGTTCTATGGAATGTACATCAAGAATGTACACAACTTAAATGTCCATCTATGGATGAATGGATAAAGAAGATGTGGTATATATACACAATGGAGTATTATTCAGCTATGAGAAAGAAGGAAATCCTGACATTTGTGACAACATAGATGGACCTTGAGGGTATCATGCTTAAGTGAAGTAAGTCAGACAAAGACAAATACTGTCTGATCTCACTTGTATATGGAATCTATATGGAATCTAAAAAAGCCAAACTCACGGAAACAGAGAGTAGAATGGTGATTACTAGGCATTAGAGGGTAGGGGAATTGGGGAGACATTGGTCAAAGGGTACAAAAAACAGAATTACACCAAGTTATCTGAATAATTGCCATTTTTGTTTTCTTCCACCTGTTCCAAAATAGCAAAAAGTTTTATTTGCCGCATTTCCTCTACCTCCACTTACAATCATTTTGGCCTCACAAATTTGAAGATATCTTTTAGGAGACATGACACTTGGAAAGGTAGAGTGAGGTTAAGAATTTTTTAACGAAAAAATGCTGTGGGTCTGAATGTCCAAGGAGGGCTCAGGCCATCAGTCCTCTTTCAAATAAGGAGAGAATGACCATTAACCCTTCCAAAAAGGGACAAGCTGAGCAGACAACCAAGAGAGTCATGTGGCATTTCCATTCAACCTAACGATGACTGATTGGTTGAGAACCCAAACAAAGAGGCCTTTCTTTATTTGCACAGCTGGAAAACACTCCATTCACCATGATTTTTGAAGGAGAATCAGGCAGTGCTTATTTAAAATCTTGGCACACTGAACATCAGAGAAGGTCATCACGGCTTTATGGAATATCTGGGCTAGTCCCTCTTTTCAGTTTTCCCAGTTCACTTGTTTATCCAATAGTGTGAATGCAGAACTTTATATTCGGTAAGCCATTCTACAGTAGCAATGATTATTTTAATGTATTTAAAATGGTTTGCTGCTTTGCCTCATTAAGGCTGGTTCCCGCAAGATAAGATCTAGTTATGCATAAAGTGAAACAAACCATTGAGCTCCAGGCTTCTCTGGATTTTGCTAGGGATTGGAGGAGGCAGAGAACTCCTGTAAGGAGCATGAATGTCCCCAGTCATCCACTTCCAGAGGACAGTGTCTGAGGACCACTGGCTGAGAACTGTCTCCATGACTACCAGACTTCCAAGCAAGAAGTTCTGCATTAACAGTGGGTCCTTGACCACTGATCTGGTGACGAGGTGCTGGCCCTGACAACTTCTGCTCCTCCCCAGGGTCTCTCTGGCCAGTCAGCCAACAGGCTTCTCCTTGGGCTCCCTGGGTCTGCTCTGGTCCTCGAATGCTAATGCTTCATTTCACTGAAGAACGTGGCTGAGTCACGATGAAAATATGTAAGGGGGGGGCCCTTCTGGACCTCATGTTACTTGAGATGAAAAATGTTATGCTGCCTCCATATTATAACTATCTGAGACTATAAACAATGATTTAATTAATGACCATAGAAGAATACTTGCTCACCGATGTTACGTGGTCTAAAAACCCATAACTGACGCAACATGAAGCCAATGTTTATATGGGCACAGATGACTGGAACCTAACATTTTGATGGCAGCTGCTACTTTGAAGAGTGGAAAACAATGACATTTTATTCCCAAGGTCCTTTAGAAGAGAAGCAGAGTGAGGAAGGTGAAACTCTGGAGAGAGACGGGCTCTGGCAGGGAAGGAAATGACTGGATTTAGACAGGAAGAGAAGGAGAATCACTGTGGAATCCACCGGCCCGGCCAGCTAAGCAGCTACTATTACCTCCTTGCATTTTCCAAGTTGCTGTACTCAGAACTTACAAATCTAAAGGGCTATATTCTATAGCCAGGCCCTGAAATACAACAAGTTCGCTAAATTGTCTTCAAAAGGATGCTTCAGAGATTCTTATAAACAATGACTAAAACTAAATTATGGTGTAATATTAGTTGATTAGGACAAGACTTCAATTTGAGTAATTTTCATCAGCTGGACACAGACAGTGGTAAAAACAATAACCCATGACTAAATGCATACTAGTTGATGGGAAGAATTGCAATCTGATGTGCCAGGAATAACAGCAAAATTTTAAAGAATTAAAAAATGGAAAGGAACTCTTTTTTTCAAGACCACAGAATAAAAGAAAAAAAATGGGAAAAGTGTGGCTCACTGAAGGTTTTCAAATGTCAACAAAGTTCCAAAACTTATTTCAAGAACGGCCTCTTTACTCAGAGGGAATCTAGGATCCTCTTGGCCTCCATCTCCTCTGCCTACGTTCCTCCTATATTTACCCTGAAATAAAGCCAAATGCATTACTCTGAGAAAATCAAAATTACCAATACCTTTTAGTGAGGCAAGCCAGCCAGTAAACCAAATTAATTGTAGAATGTGTTATTTTAGAGCTTCAAGGAAATGTTAAAACCGTCCATGCAGCTCTCCACTTTTTAGATGAGGAAATTGATACTTGCTTAAAAGATCGCTCCAAGTAGAAGCAGGTAATTAAAGACAATGCCAAGCAAAGGGAAAGCTAGGCAGAGGTATATTTGCCTGGGTATGCATCTATTCTCTGAGAACTTCCACACTCACTCACCCACAATGCTGAGCCCCTGCAGAGCACATAACATTTTTCCTGTGGGCTTATCTCTACCCACACCCAATTCAGCAGGGGGAGACTTGGCCCAAGCTGGGTGTCCTAATCTTTTTTGGGAGGGAGGAGGAGGACTTGAAATCAGAAGCTAAAGTTGCTCATCAGTGTCAAATGGAGGAGATATAAACTCTCCTTTCTACATCATGCCTTGCCCACAATATGTGCTGTGTAGACAGATGCGTATGCATGATGGCATGGGGTGGCCATTTCTGCTGTGTGCATGCCATAGCAGAGAAGGTCTATCTATAGAGAAGAAGAATGCCATGGAGTGTAGAAAGAAACCAAGAAGGAAAAGAAAAACAAACACACAGCTCCCTGGTCCCTCATGAGACACAAGCTTCCCTTCCCACTCTGCGTTCTGAGTCATTCCCTCTCTCTCCAAAACACTCCTCTTTTTAATTTCAGGGAGTAACTTTGGTTGCTTGCAACTAAAATAACTTTGTCTTAAGTCACCAAACTAGAGCTGAGACCTGAAAACCCTTCATTGAGTCCTCTTTCTTCCACTAATATACAAATACTGGAACTTTTATAAAGCATGGCTTAGGAGACAACACAAAAATAGACCACCTAAATCCATCAATACCAATTTACCGTGCAATAGGACATATCTTCCTTTATTAGTATTTATAGTCAATTTACTCATTTTCAAACATCAAAGGAGCACCCACTCTGAATAAAGTAGGAGCCTGGGGTCTGTTAGAGTGCTCAGGACAAAAGCAGAGTCCAAGGCTGCTCTCATGGAGCACGTAGCCTCAGATGGGAGATGAGACATGCCTACAGATCAATATAACACCAGGAGATAATATGGGGCATTTACGTGCCAGGCACTGAGCTACCAGATTTACGTGCATGGCCTCATTTCATGCTCACATCTGTCTGGGGCAGGGTCATCACTACACCTGTTCTGTAGGTGACGAAACTCAGACCCAGAAAGGTTTGGTAACGTGCACATGGTTGGTGGATGGTGGAGGATTTGGACTTGAGGAATTTGGACTCTACCACCTAGTTGCCTCCTATGCTTTTCCTTCTTGGCTGTGTGCAGCCTGAGAAGAAGCCCTTAGACTGGTGGGCCCTGTTACTTTCCTCCCTGTGCCTTCTCCAAAGCATTGTTTCTCACACACAACAGGGAGTCATCAATCAACTAACCTATCAATACAGAAAAGCCAACAATTACTGAGCACTTATTATGCCCCAGCACTGAACTAGGCACCTAATATACATCATTTCATTAATCCTTATGTTTAATAAGAATCAAAGGAAGAACTATTATTACCATCTCTGTTTAGAAGATTAGAACATTTGAGGCAGGTTAAAGTTAACTACCTTAATTAGTTATGTAGGCTAAGTTATGCTGTGGGAACATATCAAACTGGAAATGTCAGTGGCTTAACACAAAGGTTTATCTATCATGTAGAGTATATATCCAGCGTGCGTTGGTAAATGGTAGGGCAAAAGGAGTGGAATGCATTGGCTCTATGTCATCATTCAGGGACCCGGGTGGATGAAGGTTGTTCTATTTCATGACTATTCCATTGAAACATGTAGCTTCAGAGTTCACAAGAGCAGAAGAAGAGAGTACGGATACCACCACACCAGCTCTTAAATGCTTTAGTCCAGAAATGACCCAGGTTGGTTTTGCTCAAAGCCTATTGGCCAGGCCAGTCTTGAGGCCCCATCTACCTACAAGGAGGCTGGGAATGGTGAGTGAGCACATGGATATTTGGTGAACAGAAAATGGCTCTGCCATAGCAATTCTTCCAATTACTAGCAGAGCAGAGAGGATTAACCACCCTACTTGATTATGTCCTCAAAATTTGTAAACATATTTTGGGATAAGCTGTTCCGAGTCTACAATAATCATTTAGAAATACCCAAACCTTATCTGAGAATTCACAGCCTTCTCTAAGAAGCGTCCACCTTCTCACGACTGTCTCGATTTCTGCATATCCAAGAGGAAGTTACTCAGAGCCGAGCACATTGTGGGGACCTACCTTTGTTGGCACAGGCCATCCACTTGAGATTGTCTGCAAAAGCAGCCTCTCGTCCAATGAGGTACGTGAAGATGCGAACCTGAGAGGAAGAGTGACATGGTTCAGCGGTATTCATTTTTCACCGTCCTGCATAGACCACATGCATGGCTCATGCACATGTGGTTTACCTCTTTAATGCTCCATGCTCCCCATCTGTAGGAACATATTTAAGACATTTGAAGTACAGGCAGCTAGAAATATATTCAAAACTGGGGCCTTTGATCTTTTAAACCATATGGCCCTTGTGGTGGTTGTTTTTCGGTGTGCAACTCGTGACAGAGGAGAACAACTTGAAGTGGGAGACTGGCAGCGTCATGGGCCTGGGTTTGCTGCACACAGAGGGACACGGACCATCCAAGTTTGGGTCAAAGCCACAGCCATTTTCCTCATCCACACAGAAATTCAGAGCGTGTTCTTTTTGGGAATAAAAATGCCCCTGAAACACCCTCAACGTTTCCCCCCAATGGTGAGGAGAGGCTGCAGACACTCTCTTACCATCTGTGGTGTCTGGCGTGATTTTAGGAGGTAATTAACCCTGGCAAGAGGCACAGCCTGGAGCCAGGAGACCCATGGGGACTCTCTCTAGTCTTCCTAAGCTTTTGGCTCCTGATAAGCAGAAGACACATGTAAAACCTAGGCTCTCTCATTTTCTATTGCTTTCTCAACTCTCTCTCATGAGGCCAAAATTTTTTTAATAAGTATGACCTACCTCCCAAAGTAGTGCTTGAAGGTCAAATGGAAGAAAGATACGGAATTCAAAGGGTTAAAATCCTTTAATTCAACTTTAAAATTGTATGTGGGGCAAGACTACACAGTCCCAACAAAACTCGTCTGGCAGGTCAAGTACAGTCCTTTGGCCACCTCTTTGTGATGAGTTAATGAAGACATGGGATTAGATGAATGATGCTGGACACGTGGTACCAAAGGCTTTACTAGCTTTACCCCTCAGCTCACCCAGACTGGATCAGGCACCCCTACTGCTCCTTCAGAGCCTTTATTACAACTGTCGTTAACTAATACCTTCTGTGAGGCTGAGCTCCACTAGACGGTTCACTTGATAGGGAAAGGAAGGGATGTGTCTCTTTCCCCTGGCTGTGTTCTGATGGAGCACAGAATGCTGCAACTCAATATATGAATGGATAAAAATACATGAATGCTCAGAGATGACTGTAAAAATGAAGATTTTGTTTTAATTATGAATATCTTCTTATGTAGGAATTATAACTTGAAGACTAGTTTCTAGGCGATGATTTATTTCCAACTTAAAGAGATGTTTAAATACACTTTATCATCATGCAGCCTGAGTCTGTCCTCATTTGTGTTCAGTAAGGCAGTCATTTCACCTAGCACAGCCCTTGCAAGGGGACTTTCTTAGGGGATGGTCAGGCACAGAGGTCTCTGTCCTTCTTCATTCTCCCAGCTCTTTTCCACACCATTCCCACTGGAGTCACATTGGGAGGAAGGAAAGGTTTTTTTTAAATTGGGAGACTCTGGCTTCTCTTGGGAGGAAAAAAAAGGAAGATTCAACATCATATGGCCAAAGGTGGTTACTTTTGACCCCTCTACACAGAGCTGTCTCCTGTTCACTTTTCCTGCCTGGCCACTGTTGGCATTTAGCTAAAGATGTCTGGTTTAGGGGGAAACTAAAGCCCAGTTAAGTAAAGTGATTTGCTTAGTTTCATCAAGTCCTTATCTAATGAGAGAGGTCTTCTGAGACCTCAGGATGACATTGGGGTCTCCTCTCGACCTCTTGGAGATGCTGGTTCTGTCAATTCAGAAAACCCCAATCAGTTCCAGGGCTCAGAGCCAGCATCCACAGGAGCCAGGACTGGAATCCAGTCTCTTGAGATCAGACCCGTGCTTTTATCACAAATCTTTGCTTTTGATTTCAAATTTTAGTTATTTAAAAGGAGAACACTAGACTGACAAAAACTTGCATCCCCAAAGGCTCTTAACCAAGCAGAAAGCATAAGAGATAGTTCTTAGGAAATAAAGCTATGAGTCTATCTTTGTAGGTAAAGAGGAAAAGACTCGACACAAGGCAGCCTATTTGTTTTTGAGTAAAGGTACCCATATGTGCCAAACCTCCTCTGCTGTCCAGATGAAGAACCTTAGGATAAACTGAGTTTTCTCTTGGAGGCATAGTTAAAACTCCAGGACAATGCTGTGAACCATTGGCAAAATATCTCTAATTCCTGATTTTAAAAGATGGCAACCCATTTGGAAAACCAGTAGGATTGCGCCAAACTTCAGACCAGACATGATTGCACAAGAATGATTGTGTTAACAACAACCACAGCAATGAAAACCAGTACCACGACCCCTTAAACCACCACCGCTGCCCCTACTACCACTTCTGCTATGGCTTCTACGGTCAGCACCATCCCCTGGGTCAGGTACTTGCTAAGGGATTTATAGGTATTTTATTTGTTTTGTTGGTTTGTATTTTATTTCATTGCTTATGAAAGAAAATCAGAATCATGTTCAATATTTCCATTTATATGTGGTCCTTGGCTCCCAGTGGACTAGCCTCTTTATCTGAGTAGAAGTGGCGTGCAAATGCCTTGCTGCATCTCTGCCTATAAAATAAACATAATCAAAAAATACTGGGTTCACGCCCTGGATTTCTCACAATAATGTCTTTCAACTGGCAACAAAAGAAAACAGATTTTACTCCAAAATAAATATTTTGGAGAGCAATTTAACAATATCCATAGCATTTTATATTTTAAAATTTTTTTGGACCCAGTAATTCCACCTCTGGGCATTATCTTACAGCCAGGATAACAAATAAAATGCCTATGGGGGCCAAGCAGGTAACAAAGATGACAGGAAGTTACAGGAGTATGAAGAACTGTAGAGTGCATGTCTTCTTAAAGCTCTATAATTCAGTTTCAGACATTTTCACAAAGACACAAAATGATAAAAGTACAAAGGTGTTCACCTTCATTATTTGTAATGGTCAAGTACTGTTAAATCCTAAATGTCTCTTCATAGTTGATTGGCTGGAAAACTTATAGTACATTCATGTAGTGGAATACCATGCCGCTATGTACTCATGTTGAAAGACATCCATTATAAATTGGTAAAAGGAAAAAAGCAAATTGTGGGATACTGTGTAGCATAGAAACCTATATTTCCTAAAAGGAAACATATACTTTTTACTTCATAAACTTAGAAATCACTTGAATGTTTTTACCAATGAACAAGTACTGCTTTCATAATTAAAGATCATTTTAAATGAGAAGAAAGTATAGACACTGCTTCTTCCGGAATCATTCTGTAAGGACATAGGAAGAATAAATGCAGCAGTGAAAATCCAACACAAGAAGAGATGATATGTGGAAATTAAGTCCCGGTCTTCCATCTTCGAGGGTGGGCTGCCTTACTCCACAGCTCAATTAACTGAGGGCAAAACCTCTTTGAGTAACATAATCAAATTGCTCCTCATTTCCATCACTAACACATTCTGTAAACTGATGGATTCTATTTCCAATGACTGGAGATTTCCTCCCTAAGAAGCACCACCAAACAAACTTTCACAAGTCTGCCTTGAGCCCTACTACTTTTCTGACGTGGCAAGGTGCCCTAGCAGAGGTAGATCGGGGTAGTTCTGAAAGCCAGGGGCATGGCACAGATGACCATGGAAAGAAGTCAAGGCACAGCTCAGAGCAGCTTTGGTGTATGTCAGAACACACTAAAGCTCCCCAGAAAGCAAAGCCTTTGTGCTCATCATCCACAGGCATGAACACACCACTTTTATTATTGTAGCGCAAAGGCGGGGGGGTGGGAGGGGGAAAGTCCGCATCAATCTATTAGTTCATTTTGATCTCCCGTTTAAGTTTGGATGGGCTTTAAATGTTCTCCCAAACCAATTAAGCTTAATAAAATGTTAGGATGTGGACATTTCAAAGTCACTTAATTTAATCTACTTAGTACAAAATTTCCCAAATGAAACAAACAAAAACTCAAGCCAATTTTTCCAGAAAACAGATTATGCTCCTCAATCATATAGATACAATACCCTCCAGAAACTTAGAACGGCACCATTCCTCCCAAACTTTGGTGAACATACGTAGTTTGAGTTGGCAAAGATAATGAATCAAATTCTCCTTTCTACAGCCATTAAAACGGGGGAGGAGAGCAGCTGCCAGTAGAGCTACAATGGGGCAATTGAACAGCCAGAAAACAGGCTGCTGCTGCCTGCACATCTCCCTCCAGCAATGAAGGGGAGATCACCAATGCCCAGGCTTTTGAGATAGTCCAGAGCAGCAATTCATCATGCATCTGTCACAAGTAACTTCTGAGCACCCACCATGTGCCAGGGACCATTCTTGGTGGTGTTGGGGATGTGATGGGTAAACCACAACTCTCTGTCCTCAGGGAGTTTACATTTTCATGAGAGTGAAACATATAATAAACGGCAAATTCACATTTAACATTTATTTATCTTTTGTAGTAAATGCTTATGAAGAAAATAAAGCAGGGTAAGACAATGGAGAGTGATGGGTTGTTATTTTAGAAAGGAAGGAAGGGAAGGCCTCCTTGATAGGTGATATTTGAGCAGGCATCTGGACAAAATGGGGTGGGGTAGGGGGAGCAAGATATGTAGCTATTGGGGAAGAATGTTCCAAATGAAAGGAAGAGAAGGTACAAAGGCCTCGAGATAGGGATGCTTGAGGGATGTTGTAGAGACCAGTGTGGATAGAGTGGAGTCAGCTAGGAGAGGTTGTAGGGTAGAACCTTGGACAGATAACAGGTGCCAGATCATGTGTGTCCTTGAAGCCACTGTTAGAGCATGGGCTCTTTTTGCAGCAAGAAGAGAAGCCACAGGAGGGACTGAGTAGAAGTCTGACATGAACTGACACATAGTTTTGTAAAAAGGATCATTCTGTCTGCAGTGTGGAGAATAGGCCATGAATGGCTGTGCATATCCTGGCTGCCCATTCAATTTTCCTGTGATGACCTTATAACTCTGAATGCCCAAGTCCTATACAAGATCAATTAAATCAGAACCTCTGGAGGCAGGGCTCGACTTTC